AATCATTGATTTTCTCATTCAACTCCGTCCGTAACTTAGATTATTTAAAAAAAATAATAAAAACGCCGAAACGAATAAATGTTTTAGATTTATTTTAATTAAAAAAAATTCATTCCATGTTTGGCGCCAAGGGTCTTCCCTTTAAGTTTCTACTTCGTTTGTATTGTCTGCGTTTGCGGTTCGTGTTTAAAAAGGCTTTTGTTTTCAACCGAAATTATCTACAGTCATAAAGCCATAGTCGTTTATTTTTTTAATTTAAAGAGTTTATTAGTAGAGTGGGTTTTGGCTAACTTGTCTTTATAATGTGGTTTAAATCTTGGTTTGAATCTTTAATAAACGTTCGAACTTAGGATAACTGACTAGAAAGAAATGTTTCTTTTTTAACGAAAAAAAAAAAAGTCCTAATAAAATGAAGACAAACAACTGTACGGCAAAAACCCATAGGAAATATAGAAGAAAAAAGAATTGAAAGAAATGAAAAACTGTGTCATTTTATTAAGTTTTTCTGTAAAAAAAATCCCATTCGCTAAAGTAACCAAAGCCAATATTTGTTTTTAAGATATAATTATGTTATAAGATTCAAGTAATTTTTAAAAATACGATAAGAAAGTAAGTGAAAACACATATATGATATCTCATAAAAAATGCACTCAATATATAATGAAGTAGAAAGTCGAAAAAACACGACGGTTTAAAACCAAAATTTTTGGCAAAAGTGTACTGGTTGCCAAGATATTTTTGAAGTATAAAGTCAAAAAAAAGTTGTACATTATGGAAAAAATTGTAACAATTATGATTTTCTTTTTTTTTTTTTTTTTTTGATAAATTTTTGGGAACTTTTTGCTTAATTCGACGTTGGATATTTATCACACAAGATCGAATTGATTCTATTTTAAAATGATTTCGAAAATCTCGCTTACCTCCCTGAATCCTGAGGATGGAAAACCGTCTCGACGTCAATATAAAAAAGCTGCTTTCAACACGATGTTCAGCGTTCGTTCAAATAGTTGACATACAAGATCACGTTCGTATGACTTATTACGAAATACCTGCACTTCTATTGGAATGATTTGGACGATAATGCTTTTTCTAAACATAGGAGAGGTTCTATAAATTGCTGAGAATTTATAATGTTTGAATAATTGTCAATTAAATCCTGATGATCCGAGAAGATTACAGAGCTAGCCATACCACGTCATATAGATTTTGTTTTAAAGACAATATCTTATAAATATTTAAATTTCTGAGTTTTAGAACCCTAAATAATGAGGCATAATGGAGGAGCGGGAAAACAGAGACCCAAAAGAAAATAAATGTTTTAAGTAAATTTTTGTTGTTGTTGTTGTTTTGCTTAATTTATGAATTCGTGACCCAAGTTTCCAAAACTATCCTCTGAAAAACGAAAACAAAAACTTTACTACAATAATCATTGCAAATAAAATCATCTAAGAGTTAATTGAACTTGAATTTTTTTAGAATTATTATTATCTTTGGGGGTATATTTCGAATTTGGAGTGACACAAACTCCCAAAAAAATAAATAAATATGATGTTTTACTACAATCTGAATTTGTCGTGTGCGTGTGTTGCTAAAGTCAATAGGACAAAATATGCTATAAAAAAACCTACGCGAAAGTTAAGTGTCGTTAAAATGGTCACATCTAAACATTATCAGGCTTCAAGTGTTTTTACAAGAGTTGTTCAAGTAATTTTAGTCTTTGCTTGGAATTATGGGATAGAGTTTGCACGGTTTATGTAAAAATATCGGCTACGCCTCGAGTTCATATATCAAATACAAGACGGCCACTCGTATATATTACGTATGGCTGAGTTTTATTTAAGTATATGAAGCTCTTTAGTAAGTAGTGTAAGATTGGATAGATGGATGGATGGATGGATGGATGGATGGATGGATGGATGGATGGATGGATGGATGGATGTGGATGGATGGAAATGGATGGAAATGGAAGGATGGATGGATGGACAGATGGGATGGTATAGTATAGATTGGATAGATAGATGGAAAAGTAAAAAAAAGACATATTTTTCTCCTCTCTTCACATCAATAATTTCCCTCTGTTTTCGGTGGTGCATAAAATAAGTTTCCTATAGTTTTGCAATGGCTAATCATTCTTGTTTGTTAAACTGAACGATAAGGGGGGCAGGAAGATAAGATTTCCTCTTTGAAAACAAAAATGCAATCAACCAAGATCAACTTGGCTTAAACCTAATCAGTCGTAAAGAGCAGGTTTGTGATCAATCTACTCGTGTAAATATTGGTAAAAAATTCAAACAATGTTTACCTCAATGAATCTACAATCATGAATCAGAGCTTCCACTTGAAGACCTTTAGGAGTAATCAACCAAATGTTATAATTTCTCCCAATTATGGAAGAAAAAGAAAATGAGAATGAATAAATGAATGAGAAAGAGACAGATAACCGCAATTGACAATCACACTTCATTCTTTCCTTWAAAAAAACGAAAAAAGAAAACGAAACGAAACAAACTGACGAGGAACGAAAACCTTTTTTTGGAAAGAATGATCGAGAAATACCTAATTTAATAGCTAATGTATTAACGTTATCAAAACATGGAATTACTTTTCCAAACGAAAACATAATAGGATAACATTTCCCTTCGAATCATACAAACCGCAATCTTACTATAACATAAACTCCTTATTTCGTTATTCCAATATGAATAAGCAAAAGGACAACAAAGGTTGATGCGATCTGGATTTGTTGAAAATAAATATGGATGCCACTTGTTGGACTTTAACTAGACTCGAATGATATGGATGATCTTCTCTCTAAAAACTAAGTCTTATCGTGCGGTTTCTTGTGTATATCTTGTTTATTTATTTTTAGCTTTATATAAACTGAGACATCAATTAAAGTTTGCTTACAGTTTCAAAAATATTCTAGAATAAATAGCCATTAAATTGGCTTTTGTAAATCCTTTTAAGATTCTTTAAAAAATCTTTTTTTTWAAACGTGTATACGTAAAACAAAAAAAATTGTTTTCAAACTCATGATTTTATTATATATATATATATTGAAATCTTACTTATTATATATCGATACCAGGTTTTCGTTTCATTTTATATTCGATGTTTCTTATGGTTTTTAAGAACTTTTTACCGTATAATTTTTGGCTTTAAAATTTATCCTAAATCGCTTTTTATACGGACTTGAAATTCGAAGACGTGCTAGAAAACAAACATTAGTTATATTATTTATGTTGTGTACTTCTTTACCTTTTGTTCAATTATAGAAGTTTCCCTGCGGGCGTTGTGTAGCATAGACCGACTAGAAATCAAACCTTGTTGATAGCCAAATAAAATGATTGAAAGCATTTATTATGTTAGATGGTCGAGTGTTCAGGATTGAGATAAGTTATTACTAAATAGCGACTTGTTTTGTCGGCAAATGAGCTTCATAACCGCATCTACAGTAGAAAAGTCTCCACAGAGTCAAACGTCTAGGTCTAAAGAACTGTGCTATATCGTTTGGCATACGAGTGTATTAAGTCAAAAGTGTATTGTGAAAAGACTAGGTTAAGCTTGGAATTGAAGTCCTCGCAGCGGGAGTAAAAGCGACGGAGGAAAAGAAAGAAATTCGTACGAAAGAAAACAGAAAATATATCGTCAAAATAAGCAATTGCGAGCACTTGGAGAAAAGTAATTGATGTCATTGAGACGGTCCCTAAAACATTTGGAATTATTAAATATTTTGATAAAAATCTATGGTTTTTATGAATGTTTTTTTTCCTCTTTGAAAATGGAAATTTTTGGCGATAAGAGGGAGATAAATTATCTACTATGTAGGCGCTTTCCTGGCCAGTTTTGCGTGAGTGGGCTCGTCCGCTTCTTTCTTTATCCTTTCCGACTCTTAAAAGAAACCCTTAGAAAAATGAATTTACGAGTTAGTTTAGGTGGTTTCTTATTTTTACTTTGATAAATGTAGGGAAAACAGCACGCACGACTTTTTTAAATTCAAGATTAAGATAAAAAACGCTGAATATCTAAAAAAAATTAGGGTCAAGCCGCATCGCAAAGAGAAAATAAACATAAATTTGTAATTTTCGTCAAAAAAAGATAATGGAACAGACGATAGCACGATAGCACTATCACAGATAAATGTGAATTTTTTCCAGACGCAGGGGATCTGTGACACTTAAAAACCCATAAAACCAGATTAACCCATGACAGAGTAGTAGAAAAATGTTATATAAAACAAGATGATTGAGCAGTCTGAATCTGTTACTAAATTTTTGCGCAAATGCGTGCGCTAACTGTAACTCCATATCATTAGCGACCAATGTTTAACCTCATTATATCTCTCAAAATAATTGCTTTCTGTTTTTTTAAATGCACATTCCTTCTGTAAATGATTCCGCATTTATTTTTCTTCTTATTTACATAACTTTGGTTAACTAATTTTGGGAATTTTGCGGTGGAAAGATTAGGCTATCATCCCTTCTTCTCCATCTTGACGCCATACTAAAAACTTTTGAATAAGCCGACAGACATGCGGCATCCCGTTGTCTGATTCTACAGAGCCGTAAAGCAAACAGAGAAAGGAATTCTGGAGTATCATTCATTGATAACTGAGGTTTAGATTAGTTTTTAATTGTCTGGAAAAACCGTTTATTTGGGGCAATCTTTATCATGACATGCATAATCCTAATCATCATCATCATAATTCATCATCATCGTTACCATCATAAACACCATCATTTTACCATCGTTATCATCATCATTAACAATTATCATCACTATCTGGCTTCATCATCGTCGTTATTATTATCACAATAATAATGACCCTTTTAGATCGTGATGATAATGGTGAATGATGATGATGATGATGATGATGGCCATGATGATAGTGATGATGTCAGATTTTAATTACTATATATTGCGGCGTAGTAGCCATCCACATGTTCGACATATCTACAATTTATATATCCACTTAAAGGTATAAATTTCTTTTTTTACAGCACTGACTATACGATACACAAAGCAAAAGTTCGAGGATATTTACGAACCAACGATAGGTAAGGCATAAAAGTTCACTTCACCTTCAACACCGGTACCACTATAATAGACATTTAGCTTGGACTTTATATTTTCCCATTTCAGACCACGTGTCATTCCCTTAAGAATAAGGATCTTTGTTTGAGTTGTATCCATATTCATGTGTCCTCTCTTACACAACCATTAAACAAAGAAATGATACTCTGGGGAATGACACATGGTCTGAAATGGGGAAATAACATTCTATTGATGGTTTTCACAGCCGCCATGTTGAATGAATTTTCACAAAAAACAAAAAATTCGTCATTAGTCTTTTTTTGTTTTATCATCCAACATGGCCTCCATGCATTGTGTTATTACATTCTCTTGGGAATGATTGAAAACCAGCAAAATTAAAATCATCTTCAAAATAATTTTGAATGTATTGAAAATTTTTATTTTTAACTTCCTCTCCTGCAGATGGGGAGAAGTGGCTGAGAAGGGGGTGTGGAGGGGGGTAACCAATCATCAGTTAACTACTAATTTTTAGGCCCATTGTCAATTAACTGTTAAACCCCATCCATGCCCTCTGAGAAGTGTTGGAATAGCTTTCGTTGCAAATAATTAAAGATGTGACAGATAAATCACTAATTGATAAATATATTAATTTTTCTAGAGGACACTTACCCAACAAATGTTGTGCTCGATGGTCGATCAGTGGAGCTATCTGTTGTGGATACTGCTGGCCATGTAAGTTAGAAGTAGCCTATGTTAACTTTCTGTTTACTTCTTCTTTATCTTTCTTCTATCCATCGAATGACCTTGACACTGCACTATTAAAAATCTGTTGTTCCATCTTCATCAGACGTGGTATTTTTTGTAACATTCTGTCCCTACTCCTGGTTTTGTTCATCAAAAGAACTGAACATTGCACAAGCATTTAAAATTGCTGTTTATCTTGCCCTCCAAAGGTATTCTTGCTGCAGACGAACGTAAACTCTTAAACTGCGAAAATCACTCACCACAGACCATGCTAACCATGGTCTTACAATGTAGAGCATGTTAACCATGGTCTAACCATGTACAACTCATGATAATCATGGTCTAACCATGTACTGTAGGGCATGTTAACCATGGTCTAACCCTGTACAACTTATGGTCATGCTGACATGCTAATCATGGTCTATCCATGTAGACCTTGCTGACCTTTTTTGATTTTTTCTCCCTCAGGGTATATTCTGCCAGATGAGAGAGAGCTACATCAAGTCAGGGGATGGATTCCTTCTTGTATACTCGGTGACAGACAAGGAAAGTTTTTCAGCAATCTCTGCGATAAGAGAACAAATACTGAGTGTCAAAGGAGAGAAAGGGAAGATCAACACCAACACAGCTATGGTGCTAGTGGGAAATAAGGTAACCGAAAATCTTTAAAAACTATCTTTGTACCCACCCATTCATCCATCCACTCCCATTCACTTCCTGCCACTTTCATCCATTGATCCCACCCATTGTGTATCCATGCACCTGCATCCATGCACCTGCCCATCCACCCACCTATCCATCTACTGCCACATCTACCCAGTTATTCAAATCCATCCATTTATTCCATCCATCCATCCAACCCTTCATCCATCCATCCTTCTCATTTTTCTGTATCTACCATAAATAAGGTTGGTCATTATCTTACCACTGCATTAAAGGTGAATCAGAAAATAGGGTTACCCTTAACCTATCAATCACACTGGATATTTCTCATCCATAATACAACACCAACTAATATTCTGTACTCACCTCTTACAGTGTGATTTAGATGATGACAGGCAAATATTGTACCAGGAAGGTGACCGTCTGGCCAGGCAATTTTCCTGCCCATTCTTTGAGACATCAGCCAAAGATGACGTAGGTGTTGAAGATGTCTTCATTGAGCTCACTAGAAAGATTAAAAGAAGCAAAATGGCAACGTTAAGTAAGCATTTTGCAAGAAACAGCCGAATGCGATTCTCGATGCGAAGCTTGTCAATTAATGAACGAAAATGTAAAGAAAAGCTCCAGGCACTAAAGGGTAAAGAAACTTCGACTGATGATTCTTGGAGAAGAAGGTCTTTCAGGAGATTTATTTGTGGGACTAGAACACTGGGAACTTAGCAGAAACTTAGACTTAGCAGTTGCAAGAGCTTGCAAAATCCAACATCGTTCATTTTCTGTGTAAAGAATATCTACAAGGACTGGTCTGCTCTAGCTGATAGCAAATGGTGGTCAGTGTTTGCTCATCATTGTGTGCAGATAATGAGATTCATTCAGCTGATTGACACCAAGCAATAGAATACTCTCTGGTTAGCAAATGACGAGCAGTGTTTTCATGCCATTTTATTTTGGTGATAAGATCAATCATTCAGCAGACTGATATCAAGCAATAGGCCAGTCCTCAATATTTTAGTTTATAAAAAGTATCTAATGTTCAGCAAGTCAAAAAAGTACGAAACTACTTGGCTAAACATAATCAGACAACTAAAGCCAGACAAAAAGGTGTATATATTTGAAGATTAAAAAAAATTAATGCTCATAGACAAAATAGTAAATTAATATTACAATATGGACACAATATCCCAATTTTCTAGTGGTATATTTTAGTCAAAAGCTTAGCTAAGCAATTGATGAAAATCTTGCATTTTCACAAAAGACTGCATTATCATCAATATTATTGTTTTATGAAAAGATAGAGAATTTCTCTTAAAACAAAGAAACCAAAACTGTACAAAAATATAATATGAACTTAGTGTAAGGGTTCAAGACATAAAGTATATTATTTAGGATTAAGTTAAGAAATGAAATATTTACAGGGATATATCAAGCTTTAGTAAACACGTCCAGACAAAACACTATACTTCAAACTATTCTACACAGATATGATTTCTATAAAATAGAGCTAATCCACTGTTTTCCCATTTCATACCATGTGTCATTCCCTAGAGTATTATTTCTTTATTTAACAGTTGTACATGAGAAGACACATGAAAATTGATACAACTCAAACAAAGACTCTTATTCGAGAGAGTGACATGTGGTCTGAAATGAGCAAAACATCTAGTCTCCTATGYAGCTGCTATTAGTTTCATCACGCAATGAGCGTGGTGTGACGACACTAATAGCAGCTGAATAGGGAGACTACAAAACATTACACTTGAGTGGATTTGGTCCATTAATTGGTTTCATTTCGCATTATTTCCTGCCTTATACAGAAATATATTCATCACCTGACTCTCATGTTTTCATTAGAACTCTTTCAGGCTGGTTGAAAGCACATGGTGGTCAGTGTTTGACCATTTTCATTTGATATAATGACATTCAAAGATTTTTATCAGCTGATTGACAACCCCCAAAATTATTTGTAATTTCTTAGAAAAGGTTCAGATCATGATTTGACTACCAACCCATTTGGATAGACAGTTTTGTTCCCAAAACAAAGTATTGAAAAAAATCTTGTCGACATATTTAATGTCAATTATGAACATGTACATAACTTGATAACTGCAGTAAATTAAATATTAATATTGTATGTATATTACTGAACTACTTTGTCATTGTGTTAGAGTGCACGCACTAAACCCATGAATACTATTTAGTACTAATTAGTAGTAATTCATACAGAATCCTTTGTTTTCTATTGTTTGATTATCACTATTTAGTACTAAAAATTAGTATTTGTTTCATGGATTTAGGGCGAGTACTCTATAAGTTTAAGAAAATATTTATGATAATTTATAGTAACTCACTCCATAGATGCTCATGGAGTGTGATTGGAATCTCCAAGAGGTGGTTATATGGAGGGTTTGAACAGGGTAAGGTATATTATTCATACCTCTTCCACAGAGGGGGATTGGAATTTCCAAGGGATGAGAAAGGTTTGAAGAGTGTATATTGTGTAGTTCCAGAAAATAACCATATCTTTCCCATGGTAAAGAGAAAGAGTTTCCAAGGGCTGGGAAGCGTTCACAAACATACTTTCCCATCTACCAATACTTCCCAATAAAACAAAAACCTGATCTTTCGCTTTGATATATTAAGCTACAAGAGTGGTGTTTGCAAGTGTCAGCCATTTTGAATCAGTTGAACTAAAAAAAAATTCTTACAAAAACTTTAAAAAAAAAGTGCAATAATAAATGAAGTATAATATCTTACCTTATGAAGGGTTAACTAATTGAGGATAACTTATAAATAGGCTTTTTCGAGCCAAAATCCTCCCCAACTTCAAAACTTTAAATCTTTGGTCTTCAAATCTCGCGCCAACTGAGGCTAGACCGGGAGACACTGGGCATTATTACACAGGAGGCCCGAGCTCTGTATTTGTGCATACTAAATTGTGAATAAAAATCTTAGAAATCTGTCCAAACTATTGTTGCACTGTTTTCTTGATTTCGCCACAATTGATATGAATGAGATTTTCTTTCTTTAAAAGCACTTTTCTGATACTTTTAGTGTTTCTAGAGTTTGGGCTTCCTGTGGTCGGTTCATCGTGAAGGAATCGGTCTGTCACGGCACAGCACTTAATTTTAAACTTTTTAATACGATTAAAATATAAAAAATGCTTTTACAAATCTAGACATTAACTTACAAACTTGTATATCAAATATAGTAATAGAAACTCTCAGCTCAGAATCATATTATCATATCATGACACAGGTATCCCAAATTTATTTTTTATATCCGCATCTCAAAGTCCTCAAAGTCATTGAACTTGCGTCGTTGATGTAAAAAATCCTTGTAAAACTAATCGAAGCATCAAATGGGCCTTTGAATTTGATCTTCAAGTGGGGGTAGAAATATAACTGTTAATCTAGTGTGTCCTGCAAATGGAAAAAAATACGACTTCGATTAAAATTCTCGTATGAGAAAAAGTTGGTCATTCAGACCCATTGCTGGTTTGCAATCATTCCCAATAACAAAAGACACGCTCGCCATGTTGGATGATATAACGAAAGAGCCTAATGACGAATCTTTTGTTAAATTCATCCAACATGGCGACTGTGAAAAGTTCTGTACATCACTATATTTGGTAAAAGTCTTCGATTGAGTCCATCGACATTAAAGTTATAACTGTTTAAAAATTTGAACATGCATGTTGTGCGTGCCAATTTGAAAAATAATAAAGCTTCTATAATCAAGTTTTACCTGATTTTAAACAATCTCATCATACTCTCTCGAAGAGATCTTTTCCTTCCTTTGCCAATTCCTCCTGCTGAATGCATGTATTGGGCATGGAATGCCCCTCCAGGAGCTGGGAAAAGATATAGTTGACAAGAAATTAAATAAACAAAGTTTTCAAACGTACGTCTCTCGATCCTTTGAGTGCGCCCGTGATTTAGTCGCCAAATTGGTGGAAGAATTTTGAAAAAAAATTTCTTGACGCGAGAGAGGAAAATTGGTGGCAGAATCTTGGAAAAAAAAAATCTATAAATCATGAATAGACAGTCATGGTTGTGTATTTCTTACCTCCAGGCAAGTTAGGGTAGTTGGGATGTGCGTGCATGTAGACTCCTCTACTGTGGTCCACTACCTTTGGCTTGCATGGTATTGTTACTGCGCATGTCAACCATACAAAAGRGAACAAAAATACTTTCAAATTTTATATAAGAAACATTCGAAAAGGAGTAAAAGATCTTGGCTCTTTACATTGGGAACTGTGAATCCCTCGTGGCTCGGATGACCACGTAGGAAATGGCGGGCTTGTCTCTGAGTTTGGGGAGGTGAAAGAACCAATGAGGACGCAAAGAACCCAGGCAAGGACCACCCTCCGTGCCAGCAATGAGGTTGGCTTGGCGTAGTGTTTCAAAAAGGCTACTAGTTAATGAGACCTCACATTAATAACCACAGAAATATTCATCATAATCACAGCAAGTATAACAATGGAATGTTGCCGGGTTCTCAGTCAAAGAAACTTGAAAACCAACAAATTTCCCGTCTGGACTGTTCAATAAAACCCTGGAACACTGTGTCATTAAAGCCCACCTACCTTTTGGATGTGGAGGCCTGTGGTCCCCAGTAGAACTCCCAGCCCCACTTCCTGAGCCTAGGTCACTGTCAACAGGGTAGCACAAGGATAGACGTACAAAACAAGCCAAGAAAAGCAACATAAAAAGACTATTATGAACCATCTTCCTGATAATTAAGAAACGAAAATCGATAGAAAATAAATACTCTTTACCCAGATGGAAAATCTTGTTTTTCTGAAATTTAAATAATCTAAGAATTGGAACTGGGTCTACAGCTTCGAACTTGATCAAATAATAACGCTTGGATATTTGTATTTGATCAAGAACTGATCACTGAACTCAGTCGCCGGATCGAACAGTCTGGTGATCTCAGACTTTCCTAAAGCATTCTCTTCTATATTTTACAACTCGTGATATATGAGAGAAGACAACAAACAGTTTAACTTAGCTATAATAGGTTTAGTGTAAGAAGAAATACAAGCCCTGCCGCGACAAGTGAACAAAGCGAACTTGATCATTATCACATCTGCTAAAGATACAATTATCATTTTCATGCAAATTGGTCATTAATTTAGTGTTACATGTCTTATTTTGTCTTTGGTGATTCAAGTGTCGCATCGACTAGGTTTGCTTCTAAACTATATGTGGGAACTTGGCAACGATTGAAAGAAGTAATAGTAATCGGACATTGGGACCAAAATTCGTAAAAATAAATAAATTATAAAATTCAGTCGCCGTAAAATCAATGTAAAGAGAAAAATATAGCAAAGAAATTCAAGATGTAAGGAATATAAGTGGAAAATAATTTGGATTTCCGAGGCCGGTTTTCGGGTTAAAATGATGTTTTCTGACCTTCATGCCAGAGAAAAGCATAGAATTTTCATTGCTATAAGGAGTCAATCTTTCTCTTACCTTAAAGGAGTTTTAAAATCAACAGAAATGACCAAGTAGAGAGACAACTGAAGCAACTAAAATAGCTGCGTTCAATAGATTGAAGTCAAAGAACAACACATCTAGGATACCTGTTGTTCACGTGTCAATTCAATATCGCTCGCTTTTGTTTAAGAGTGTTGATATACAATATACATACATGCTAACTACCGCTCTTTTCCTTGCAAGTACCAACAGGTCTTTTCATACTTTCTTGTTCTTTCCCCATTAATTCTTTTCTCTACGCTGTTTCCCCAATGGTCCAAACAAACAAGAATTAGATATTTCTCCGCATTAAAGTTTTATTATTAATAATAATAAAATGATAATGATGATAATGATGATAATAATAATAATAACTTGGGGGAGGCTTATAAACGAGGATGATTTAGCGGTAGCCTAGTATTATTGCTAAGGTAGAAACACCCGCACTATTAGTATAGGTAATAGGACTCCATGCTGTCCAATTTGGAAATAATTGGATGGAAAAATTCCGAGGACTGACAAAATTGAAAGAGGCCGATAGGCAGAGTCCAATTAGGCAGTATATGCAGACTAGAATTTTTTGAATTCAATAATTTCCAAATTGGGCAGATACATAGTCCTATTGCAGATTAATTATGTCATCCCAAACTATACTATACTAGAAAAACGCGAATGGAAACGATACAAAATTATTAATCTTTAATTTGGACAGGAAAGAGAATTTAAAACAATAGTTGCTTATATATGGGATAATAGAGTGATGATGTAATTAGTGCAAATAAAAAGTTTTCATGATAATGAGTACTTTTGATAAAGTTAATTTTTTTTTTACTTAAAAGTAAAAATGGTTTAGATGCGATAAAAATCAGAACGTTCTTTTTTAGGCCTTTTTTGTTTTAATTAGCGGGCAAGATTAAGACGATTGCGGGTGAGGCAGCGTTCAAGCGTATTTTTACCATTAGACTTACATAACAACAACTTCAGGGTTTTTAGTTTTGTGCTTTTATCATCTTTCCTAGCCATTTTTCTTGCTTTCATCGCCAACTATTCCGGCCATGCGCCGCTCGGCAAGTCAACGGATATAATGTATAAAATAAAAACCACAGGAAGCCCAAGCTCTCTCAGGCCCGGACTTAGAGAAACAACCTTTTTGCTACGGTATTCCTGTGCTTTAATAGGTATCCTATTACAAATGATGACAAACGAGAGCTGAGGATTCAAGCTTTATTTTGGTACCAAACATGCCGTATTTTGCGAATAATTTTCAAGGTTTTTACTTCACAAAGTGCCTATTCTTGAAGAAAGGATCTCACAAATACTCGTCTCAAATCGGAGTTTTTGAAAGTAAAAAACGAAAAGTATAAATTCGTTCAATCGACCACAGATTCGACATCAGTAATTTAGAATGTATGTATTTTAAGGATCGACCCCGGCAAATGAGGTAACTAGCTCTGATTTTGAGAAATGTTGTTTATAATATTTGACCTTTTGTGCTTTTCTTGCAATTTAACAAAGCACATATGGCAAGAAGGCTGTWAAAATCTAACTATCGAGACGAAAAGGTTTTTCCAAGCAAATTAAAGTATGTTTGGTAAAAATCAAATGTTTTAATGTTATATATTGATCTTCTACCCCGGCAAGTGGAAAACTGTTTACACAGAAATTTATAAATCGAAAACTATCTTGACTCTCTATACATTTCTTTGTAAAATCTGACTTAACTCGCCTAACACTTTCAAGCGACACCGCTGCATTTGTACGCGGGCGCATGACCGGAATAGTTGGCGATGTTTTTTATAGCTTTCACATATTCGGCTGGTTTTTTTAGCGAGGTAAGACGAGGGTTTCGGTCACTGTGGTTCGTTATGATATTGACTTGCGTAACTTGCACATCACATGGCAAGTCACATGTTGTTTGGGGTTTCCATGTTTGGG